ATATATATATATATATATAACAACAACAATTCATATCATTTCCTCATTTCAACACATAAGGTCCATTAAACGCCTTTCAACTCCTCTTCTTGGAGTGCTTCAAGAAAAGAAAATACGTGTGTTCTTCCGTTTGAGTGTGCGCGGCTGCAACAGCAACAGCAGTGGCAGCTTTCATGACAGCTATTTAAAGGCCTTCAACCACTCAGTTTCATTCGTATCTTAAGACAGATGTATCTATTACAGTCCTGGAAAACGTTCCATCATATTCGGATGCCATCTTGAATCCTCCTCTTCCTCTTCCCGCCAATCATTAAATTTGCTCCTCGTTGTCTTTTTTTACTTGCCTGCTTACTCTTCCACAATAATCTTTCCAATCAACCAGTAAAACAATCCGACGAAATCAAATCAACCTAACTGAGCTAAGACATTTTATCCACTTGATTGCAAAGAAGACCACAGCCCTTCATCCCAAATTCTTCATTGCTATCGGAACCTTTCTGAAACAGGTCTGCTGACGATTCTGAACTTTCTAGGTAAGGGATACTTGTAAAGATGTTTTGAAATATCGTACGACAGAGGTATTTGTTTGGAAAATCCGGTTATAGAATTAGCGAAAACAAGTCTTTTGTAATGCCTGATTCGGACTGAGATAACACTTTTTTATTCACTCTAATGCCCCAAAAAAAGTGCAGTTATTGACTAGCTTAGCTTTCAGATAATTAAATTAGCCGTGGCGATGTCAACAAAAAAAAAAAAAAAAGAAAATTTCTACAACCTGCACTCAATATTGCTTTTTCGCTGAATTATCATCCACCAGTTTGAAAGATTTTAAAAGGATGAAAATGCTGCTATCAGTAGAGGTATGATCGAACCGGCACATCATTATTACGACATAATAAAGAAAGAGCCAGAAAAAAAAAGCTTCAGCATCTCTCCGTATGGCTTCAACAGACTTTTCATTTGGATTGTTCAACTTATTAGCACTAAATCAGTAAGACTAAAAGTCAGTACGGTGGAAACCTGGCATAAATTTGATATTACATTAATAAATTGTTTTGGTGTAGACAGAAGATAGGCGGGACATGAGTACGGAGGATTCGAGGAGAAAAGACAGGGAGCAAGTAAATTGATTCGATAACTAAACAACAACACAGCAAATAGCAGCAGGTAGAAGTAATAAATTAGAATTTTCAGGGAAGCGATTGGTAAGAAGTGCGCTAAGAAGTGAGGACCTTGACCCATGTCCACTATCACTCAGTATCAATCGTACTATGTTTCCCTACTCCCGTCCCGCTATCCTACGTATTACAGCCACCGCCACAACAATTCAGCCTCTTCTATCCGCTCCTCTTCTGTCGCGCCATTGTATTATTATCGGTCGTCAATTAAAACAGCTAATAACTTTTCCCGTTGTTCTCTTTCTAATTCTGTAACCTTTGCTGATAAGCCATCATTACGAAAGCAACGATACTAGGTCGCCGACCATATCATACTGCAAAATGCCCTCTAACCCCAACTACTCATCTCTCTACAATCTAATACCTTTGCTATTCGTGTCCCTTCCGTTTCTCATACCTGCACACTACCGTACTTACTCCACCTTTTCATTACTGGCAAATATTGATAGTGCAAATGCGGTATGTGCAAATGTTCCCTTTTTGTTTTTTTTGCAAATGTTCCCATCTTCCCTTTTGCACTGCAATGTGCAAACTTCTACCTCTCCTCTGTTACTTTATTGTTACAAACCATGACAATAAAGGAGAATAAATGAAGGCAAATGAGAATAGAAATTTCAAATTTTGATGGCAAAGCAGAATTCCAAAAATTTTCAGAAACAAAGCGAAGAAAACGAATTGTAAAATTAATTGTTCCAAGGGGATAGACCTTATTTATGAGCAGTGTGTTGTAATTAAGGAATAGAAATAAGCAACAAAAATAAAATTAAGGGAAAGGAATCCTAAACTCTAGCGAGGAATAGCCTGATAACTTATCACTCCTTAAAATTGTACTTTAAATGATGTTTTCTTATTATTGATTAGTACAATCAAATAATCAAACAAATAATCAAACTCTGTCATACGATGCAAATGAAGACTAGCATACGTCATTTTAAATCAAAAAAGAGATGCAAATTTCAGTGTTAAAAAGATTTTTTAAACATCAGCTAAAAAAGTGCATAATTTGAAACGAGCGCCATTATGACTTGGATGGGGAGGACAACACGTACGGTAACGTGCCATTTTACGTAAAAGAACACTTAAAAAAAATGTTACCTAGGAAATGGTATTCATCTTATAACTTATCTTCCCAAACAGAATAACAAAGAGCATCATTCTGTATCCTTTGGTTACTTAAGAGTCTTCTCTATTTTGCTAAAACAATCTCAAGTAACCAGAGGCTACAGAATGATGCTGGTTGCTATTCTGTTCGAAAAGATAAGTCGTAGGATATTGTCTAAAAACTTTTGCCTCATACGTACCGGAGATATTCTGAATTCTAGTGACCTGCTTCAAATTTAATGAGCAATGGTAGCATTATTTTAATTTTGGTGATAACCTGCAGCGCAAGACTTCGTCTATATTTATTCCTCAGAGGAAAATGAAAAAGATAGGAACAGATAAAGTGAAATAAAAGATAAAAACCTTACAATGAGATGATAGAATGATTATAGTGCTAATTTTACTTTGGCGAGATTTTAGCCATCTGAAGACTTGTTTATTGACAGAAATTAGTTTGCACTACTTTGCCATAACGATATCTGTCGTGGCCATTTTTTATTCGTTTTTTCCGAAAAAGTTTAAAGAGGAAAGCAAAACTTTTGTTTAATGAAGTACTAAGTTATATGCTTTACCTTTCAAACCCATACCTTGTATTTCTCATTCAAGCTCATTTCAGTCCCGGAACAAAGACATCATCGCACTCTGTGGGGGTGTGCATAACATCAAAAGAACGAAGGGAAATTGAACTCATAATAGCAGATTTACTCTCTGGATAAACAGGAATATATTAGTTAAATTCATGACTTACCTTCCGTTCTCTTTCTGTTCAGATTCTTATTTTTGTTCTGTTTCATTTTTATTCTTTTCTATTACACGTAAATATCCATTTTTCAGAAACATAAAAACAATGACGCTATCCGAACCATCACTATCTGTTAGACAAATAATGGTTCCGTTTCTTGGAACGAATATAATCTGTTGCAGATTCACTGCGTTTTTTAGGTTTAGATTAAAAACCTATGTTACTGATAATCTCTAGATCCACTGACGTTTATCGCAATTTAAATTTCGAAATTGTATCCGACCGAAAAATATGAAGTTGAAGAATTAATAGAAAAGCTACAAAATTGAACTTTCATGGGAAGAGCAATACCGTTGATCCCTTGAAGTGAAAGTCGAGTCGAGATGGTTCAGAAACAAATGATTTAACTCTCTGAATCATCCTGTAGGTGTAACTAATGGTCAAATGTCGTTGAAAGTGAACCGACTAGAAAACTGATGCATTAGGGGAAAAAATCAATTACTTGGACAGTTAATTGGTTTGTAAATGAATAATTTAATTGTAAAACTGAAAGAAAATAATTAGACTATATAGGATCAACGAAACACAACAATAATTAAAACAAAATTCTTAAGCAGTACTGAAAAATATTAATTGTGGGATAATCATAAATTAAAAGGATAATAAATGAAAAGGACATAATTTGAATCAATGAAATCTGTAATATTCGCACTGATGATCTGGAAAGAGTAACATTGTGTTCGTATTTATTTTTCATTGATTTGCTTATAGCCACAATATTCATGCCGAATTGAACCAGCCAAATGATTGGAAATTAGAAGGCTAGTTAATTGGGCAATAATTCTTGTTTATTTGGAACCTGCTTTTGAATTTTGACTTTAAAAAAAGCTTCCATCAGGAAACCATTTTTTATCGGAAGCTTTTTCGTAGATTACATCGAATCATTTGATCTTTCTTACTAATGTCCCAGACCAACTTAGTTGAGCACTGTATGTATTACATCAACACATTGTCAACTAGCACTAAGTAGCAATGTGATGACCATGAGTTGGTATATATTTTATGACTTTTCAATTAGCATCAATGCATATCAGTACTGCTCCGTTTGCTGATATCGATGAATTCAATTAAAAAACGTATTTTGGGGGGTGTAAACAAATGACGGCTGGCATGACGTCATGGGAGAGTCAAATTTCGGTCATAATTTCTCGTAAAAGATTTCGTCAAGTAGATTTTAAAATTTAACTAACAGATCAAGATAGGTTATTACGGTACTCCTTCCAACTAAAAGTGAGGGTTTCGAGAAAGAATTCGATATATTGAGGATTTCGTTTAATTCCGAAGGAAACAAAAACTCTTAGCTTTCTTTAGAAGTTTGGTAAGACTGATTCCGTTATTATCAGTAACAAAGTTACATGCAAATTAGAAAGAAAAGATGGTGCTAAATGGAGAGAGAATGAAAAGCAAGCAATCCAATCATATTGCAAGTATTTTTGATTGGTTTTCATAATAAAGTGGAAATGAAAACGGAATGGACAAGAAAGTGAAGATGACGAATAGTAGAAATGAAGAATAAGGGAATAATGGTAATATATTAATACAATGAATGCTTATATCTTTCACAGATCAAGTCCTTTCCACAATCCTCTATATTGTTGTGGAGAAAAATATCTGAATTTACTAAAAAAAGAGGAATGGGAAAGATGGCAACATGAAAAAAAATGCAAGTTAGGGTAGAAGAGAAACAAAATAATTACTTTGCTTCTGTAAATGTAAAAGTGTGACACTCATTTTCGAACTTCTCAGTGATTATTAGTTCAGCATCACATCGACTATCATTTCAACATACTGAATGGAAAATCCTGATATGAAGGAACTAGCTGATTAAGTCTGGATAGTTTTTGTTTATCAGTGAAGTGTTAGTAGTTGCAACGGGAAGGACTGGCGAGATTATAAACTTTAATGTTTTAACAGCATGTGCCAGTCTAATTCATACAGTTATAATCAGTATCAAAAATCTTGTCGTTTAACCCATCTCTTAAAATACATTTTTGAAGGATAGAGATAGGCAAACGTAGATAGAAATACGGAAGTATTATTATTATTATTATTATTATTATTA